TAAGCAGCCATACAGTGGCTGAAGCAGGTACATCTCAACCCTCAGGAGTCATATAAAGGTTTGACCAGAACTGATTTGAGATAGGTTGAGGCAGACACACTTGTGCTGGTCACCAGGGGCAACATGCTGAGCTGCCACTCAAGTGAGGGGCCAGAGTCCACCGAGGCAGAATGCCATACTTATCCTGAGCCCAGGGCAGGCATGCACACTGTTGCCCCCTGACCCTGAGACATGAGTGAGTGAAAAGTAGGCTGTACCCAGTGAGGACAAACCTATACCTTTTAGTTTGAAAATCAGAAGAAACCAGCAGACATACCTGCAGGTGTCCTAGATAACACGGAGAGAGTAAGGACGCTACAGATGCTCAAGCTGGCTGGGCACAGCAACGGGGGAAGGCCTCCAGGGGCTCCGTCAGGCTGTGGCTGCTCCAGGTTCAAGGGGGTACCTCCTAGAGCCAGGTCTACCACGCAGAGATCCGAAGGGGTGCTGTGGTACAGGCGGCTGCCCCCACTGCAGGCAGCACAGAGCACAGGCCCTGGGAGGAGGTACTCTCGAAGCTCTGGTACCAGACTGCCTGACTTATTCCAGCTAGCCTTGATGGCCAATGCTCGGCCATGGTGACCAAGGGCCACCAAGCAGTCTGAGTACACGTCCTCACAGGGCAGCATACTCTCCACAGCCTCCTCAGCCTGAGGCTCTGTCTTCAAGGCCCCAATGAAGACAACGGGCTCCTCTAGGTGATGGAGGATCTTGACAAGGGCCTTTGGGTCACCTGGGGCTGACCTAGAGGTGACCAAAGCTTTCAAGACCACACAGCAGAGCTGCCCATCAGGGAGACCACAGAGGATCACAGGTGACTCCAAGAGGGTGGCATCTGCTCCAAAGAGTAGCCCAAAGAGAGCCTCCTCCAACATGAAGCCCCCACAACCCTGGGGATGGCCACGGGGCACCCTGGAGCCTGGTGGTGACACACAGCACAGCACTGGCAGGAAGCAGGGGGCTGTCAGCTTCCCTGGGGCCCCAACTGGTGGCATGGTGGCAGATAACTCCACCTCACCAACCAGGCCTCCTGGCCAGCAATCCTCCCCTGGACAAGGTCGCTCGAACAGTTGCATCTTCCACTGGGCGGGGCTCTGCACCAGGGCCACGAGGACATCATCATGCACAGTGAATGCACAGAGTGTGGTATGTGGGAGGACGCAGGCCTCTGGGTCCACAGTGATCACTGGGGAAGAGATTTCACTGTCCTTGTCCTCACTTGTCTGGCTTGAAGACCCTCTGGAACAATGGAACCAAAGTTAGGACTAGGTGAGGCAGACTGCACACCTGTTCACAATAACCTGCCTCAGAGCAGGCTACACAGCGGTTACCACAGGGGGTGCTCTGGAGGGAACCACAAGACTGTCAGCCTAGCGGGCCGGGATTTAGCCTAGTGGCGCAGTACCTGCCTGGCAAGTGTGAGGTCCTGAGTTCGATTCCTGATACCCCCTGCCCCTCAAAAAAGACTGTCAGACTCTTGGCAGACCACCTGCCATACAGATTCCCACCGGCCCTGTGGGCTGCTCAGACCCAGCAGGATACAGGGGCTCAGATACATGATTCTTCTCAAACTGTAGGCTTTGTTTTCAAGCTGCACACACTGCCTCTCTACATCACATACCAGCAGCACCAGACACAGCTCACACTACGAAGTGCAGCTCCCACTCCAGGAGACTCACCTCCCAGGGGCTTGCCTGAGGGAACCCGCCCATCATGCCAGGAGCAGGTCTGCTCCCCTAGTTCAGACGTGACCATCTGAGCCCCACTTGAGAAAAACTCTCTGCCAGCAGGAGACTCTTGAAGAACACCTGGTACATCGTGCCAGGGAGTGCAGCCCCTCCATTCCTAATGCTGTGATGCAGGACCATAACTCGGAACAAATCCAGAGGCAAACCACGTGCACATCTCCTGGATTAGGTGAGGAAGTCGACTCTGTGCAGGCCACGCTGGCCTTACAGAGGACAAGGCATCCCGAGCGGACTGAGGACGCGCGAGTCACGCTCATCCCTCACCTTGTCCGGGACTCCAATGACAGACAGTAGATGCCCCTCCGGGCGCAAAGAACGTAGAGCGCTCTGCGAAGGGCTAGGAGCTGCAGGTGCCACACCTGGTCGGGGAACTGGTACACCGCCTGGACGTCAGGAGAGCCGGATCAGGCCAGTCGCTTACGAAGTCCGGGGTCTCACCATGGAAAGCGCCGCCCCCCGCCAGCCGCCCGCCGCCCGTCGCCCGCCGCCCGCCGCCCGGTGCTCACGGTCAGCAGCCCGCCCTCCTGGTCGTACACGTAGACGAACTCGCTGCCTGTGGAAAGGAAAACCTCCTCCTCGTGGCACAGCACGCGGGGTTTGCCCGCTGCTAGGCCTCCGAGCGGACAGGAGAAGCCCGCCAGATAGTGGACGCGCGGCTCGGTGCCAGCCATGGTGCGGGGGAACCCGGCGGGGGCGGCACCGCCTCCGGCACTTTACGGCTGCCCACGGCAAGGCGCGGCCTTCGCCGTAAAGCGGCGCTGCGTGGGCGGGGCCAGCCCGTTGGCCGGCCTGGTGCGAGGGCTGTAGCGTAGGCGGGCCAAACTGGGGGCGGGGCGGGGCGGGTGGCTCGGGCAGGGCGGGGCCTGGGGACCTAGGGGTGGAGACTGGGCCGGCATAGACTGGCCTGGTGCGGGCTGAGGTTCAGGCGGGCCGAGCCGGCTCGGACAGAGGCGGGGCCTGCCCAGGCCTAGGGGCGGGGCTGGGGCCGACTTAGGCGTTCGCGCCCAGTGCGGCCGCTGAGAAGTTGGTGTTCACCCACATACAGGCCACGACCCAGCGACAAACGAATGGACACAGCGATACCTTACCCCACCTCCTGGGGACTCTCCACTTGCTTCAGGAGGCCACAACCAGGGGGCCCGGAACGTCCCTAAGTCAAAGACCAAGGACCTCCCACTTCTTTGGTAACTCCATCTTAAGTGCCCCCGAGGCGGGAGAAACACTTGAACCCACTTTCAGCGACAGCCAGGCCAACAAAGCAAGATCCACCATCCTATTTTCTTTCGGTGGTGGTGGTAGTGGTACCGGAGTCAAACTGAGTTTTGCACATGCTAGGCAAGGACTCTACCGCTGAGCTACTTTTAAACTGCTCAGGCTGGCCTCAAACTTGCAGTTCTCCTATCTCAGCCTCTCCTGTACCTCAGATTACCGGCGTGCGCCACTATGCCTAGTAAGACTCCATCTCTTAAAAGGGAAAAGGAAACATGCATCTGAAAAGTTCGGAGGCCAGATACCCAGGACTAAAGGAGGCATCTGAGACGTGGCCAGGTGTGAGGGGTCAGCCCTAGAATTTCCCGAGTCCTTGTGTACCTGACAAAACAACTAATTGCAGGACCCCAGCCTCATGTTGAGGCTTGGGTGAGCCAGCCACTACTGCGCAGATCCTGGCGCTGACAATGCCAGTGTGGCCCTTTGGCTCACTCTGCCCTGCTGGGCTGCTCTGAAAGCATTTTGACTGGAGCAGGGGGCAAGAGGGATGAAGCCATCTTTCTTAGCATGTCACACATGCATCCTCAGTTGATTTGAGCACCAATTTTAACCAGATTCGCCTAGATGGGTCACCCATGCACACACAGTCCACCCAGGACAGCCTCCAATATGGTGGAAAGCACAATAAAGCTATCCCACAGAAAGGGCCCAGGTGGGGGAGTGGAGGTAGGGGACTAGCTGATCGGGGAAGACCCTGCTGTGGGTCATTCTAACCTGCCTCAGCTCTGGTCCCCATCTAGCCCCTTACTATGATTTGAGGATTTATGACAGTGAACATCTTAATCAAGGAGGGAGTGAGCACTGGACAGCTGGGGTGAATTAAATACAAAAAGAGCTCAAGGCTGTCCTCAGCCCAGGCTCTCCTGGGAGGAGGTAACCTATAGGAGTGGAAGGTGCACACACTACTAGGAGGGAGGTAGTGAGACTGCAGAGTGTGCCCTGGTCAATGATGTCTATGCCAAGTTGGGAGGCACTACCATGCCCCTAAGGAGCCAAACACTTATAGATCATGCTGGAGGGAAACCATGGAATGTGTTGGAAGCTGCAGGTTACACCAGGGATGTAAAAACCCAGCAGAGAAGCATGCAGGTCTGGAATGGAGACCTGGGGCACAGTGGACCCCAGTTCTACATCCAATCATGGCTTGAATGATTTCTTGAAAAAATGCATTGTCCCAGAACCTTATCACCCATAGCAGCCAGGACAACTGCCATGGACTTCCATTACAGTTTTCTTTACAGGCCCTGAGTGATGATGGGGCTGGCTGGTAGGTTACCTGCAGAAATACAACTTGGGCTTTGGGGAATGAGTCACCTGCACACACAGCTGCCATGCCCCATGTGCAAGACACATACAGGAGATCCTGAAGAGCCCACTGCCCCAAAGCCCAGGCCCATTTTTGTTGCTGGCCATTGCCTTGCCTCACTGCAGAGGCTCTTTCAGACTCAAGCTGGTGTTTTTTAGTGTTATTCCAGGGAGCAGTGAGTCAGCTGGTCTGAGTGTAGGGCTGGCACCAACGTCAAAGGGAGGGCCCTAGAGGAACCCCTGGCTATCTACAGGGAAGGCAGTCATCTCTGTGGCACTTGTGCCATCTGGGGCTTCCTGGACTTTTTATCTTTCACTTGCTGCCTGGCTGTGTGCACCTGAGCAAGATGCAGAGACCCAGGGAAGGGGCTACATGGCCATCAGACTGGGAAGAGGCAGTAGAGACATCTCAGGGAGGCCAGATTGCTCTCCCTTCCACTCAGGTATGAACCTGGAAATACAATACCCAGGATCCTGTGCAGACTCAGTGGAGTGGGGAGCACTCTGACATGGCCAAAGCACATCACCAGAAGACAAGGACATCTTGGGGCATAAAGTTACCAAATTGCCCCACAGAGAGCAGATGCCAGACGTGACCTGTGGAGATCAGTTCAGTCAATAGGAATGACACGCTGGGAGTGGGGCAGTCGCTTCAGGCGCTTTTTATTAGGTTCCACTGCAAGGCTGGGGTCAAGGTAATGCTAGTCCAAATCCAGCCAACACACACCTGTGAGCCCAAAGCAGAGCTGAAGCGGAGCACCTATGTCCCAGGAGCAGACTGTCAGAGGTGGGCTGGGTGGGCAGGGCCAGACTCCACCTTTGGGCCAGGATGGGATCTCAACAGCTGCTGTGGTTCACCTGGACAGATGTGCGCTCAGGCACTCCTCTCTGGGCTATGGTACCTGCTGATATGAGCGGGGGTGACCACAGGGGATGTAAGGTGGGGCTGGAGCCACTCCCGTGTAAGATGTGACCACTCAGGCCTAACCCTTGGCAGGGCTCAGCCTAGCTGGTAACATTAGATTGACTCTCTTTGGACAATAAAATAAAGTGCATTACTGAACAAAGAGTAACTCAAAACCATAAGCAGAGAAATCACAACACTTTTCTTTAGCGAAAAGACAAAAGAAAACAAGAACTATGTAGATGCCAGAACTTCAGAGTAAGAAAAATATTGATTGAGGAGGAAAGGAAATGAGTTTGGTGGATAAACACAAGAGTGAGTGGGAAGAGGAGACAATAGTAGTGGTGGCAGCAAGGTCTCTGGAAGTCTGCACTGTCTGGCGCCTGCTTAGAAGGGGCAGCAGTGCTGGAGATGAATGGCCTTGGAAACAGGTAAGCAATCAGCATAGAATCATCTCAGCTGATCTTAGGGCCCAGGTAAGACAGTGGAGGACAAAACCCCAGCCAAGGAAGCTAGCTGTCAGGAGGCAGGCCAAACAACCTGACTTGGCATGATCCCCACAGCACACCAGCAGACAGACTACTCGCCTGGCTACCTTCTACCTCCTCTGACACCACCCCCTCCAAAAGCCCTGGCCTGACATAAACACAACAGGCCCATAGCCCCAGGAGCAAATGAAATATCAGCCTTCACAAGATCCCACAGCAAGCAGACTAGGGTACCAGCCACACCCCTGCCATGGTACAGCAAGCAGGCCAGGTTTTTCTGTCTACAGGACCAAGGACTGGGGGGTGCTTCATGGGCTTGCTACTCCAAGGTGACAGTTTCCCAACTGTCCACCACTGGGCTGGCCTTTTCCAGGGCCAGCACAGCTGATTTGGCTCTCATTAAGGAAAAGAGGCATTAAAATGCTCACAGCTCGCCTGGGAAAGGGCCAAACCACAGCCACATGGCACACTCATAACCACTGGGACCTGTTCTGGATTTGTGGACCTCCCATAGTATCAACTGCCTAAGCCCCAGAGGTCTCACAAGGCCCTCTCTTCAAGGCCCATTTCTTTTTTTTTTTTTTTTGGTACCGGCAATTGAACTCAGGGCCTTGCACTTGCCAGGCAGGCACTCTGCCACTGAGCTATATCCCCAGGCCCTCAAAGCCCATTTCAATAGACACAGCACAAAGAGGCCATGGGGAGAGGAACAGTGTTGGGGAGAGAGGACCAGGGCCCCACAGCTCACCCATCCCAGCTGTCTGGAGGGGTTGCCTGCCAGGTGAAGGCCACGACTCTATTCTTGCTCAGCCACCCACATCATCAGCTGCCACAGCTGTGTGGCTTGGTAGAAAAGTCTCAGGCACTGAGGTTTGCGAGGCGAACTGACAGTGCCCCTGTTTACTCACCACCCTGAACACCCAGAAGGACTGCACTAAAAAAGGGAAGAGAACAACAGTCTAGTATCTCTCCCTCCCCTTTTGTGCAGTTTTATCTTAAAACAATAAATAAAAGTCTTCTGGGGCACAAAGTACTGATTATTACAACCAATGCAGACTTTAAAATCTCACCTGGTTGCTAGGTGAGAGAAAGGAAGGCAGCCCGCTAATTTGCAGGTCAAGCCAAGGAGGGTGTGGCCTGGCCACATGTGTTCCCACCAGACAGCAGCCACTCACATGGGAGGGACATGGCCCGCTTGGACAGGGGCCTCTACCCCAGAGCAACAGAACAGAGGCAGCCAAGAGTTCCCAACCACACAGGGTAGGGATGAAGAACAAAAAACACTGAAAAGAGGGGAAAGGAAAGCTGGTGGCAGCCATCACCCTCCCTGCACCCCCACCCCAGGTGATAATGTGGAGGTGCCTGATCCTTCCACTACGGTGGGGTTGTGCACTGCGCAAGGCGTGTAGGGTATTCCTGGGCAGGGCTGCTTGGCATTTCCAGTTGGAAGGCTGGCTGGATTCAGGCCCAGCACACCTGCCAGAGCCACCTCTCCAGGATTGGAGCTGAGAAGCTTTGGTGGGTCCAAGACACCAGGGCAGCTGGTCCTGCCCCTGCAGGGCTGCTGGCTTCGGCCACACAGGGGACACATCACACTCCTGGCTTCAGAGGGCTGGGCTAGCCCAGTCCACCCAGCAGAGGGCCGGAGCCCTAGGTCCTGGGAAGGCTGCACATCTCGCAGTGACCTGTGCCGGGTTGGTTCATGAAGGTGCAGTGCTGACAGGCCCACATGGTGGCAGTGGCAGCATGTGTGGAGCCTCCAACAGCGCCGTACTCATGGAGGCCTGGGAGCTGCACACCAACAGTGCCTGTAGGAGAGGAAGAAAAGTGAGTTCTCATCACCTGTGCAGAAGACTCTTGCTTGAGAGCACCGTGGCATGGGCAGAGGCAGCATAAGAATACTCACTGCTCACACCAAACCTGTTGTCTGAATCAACCATGACGGCCTCCAGCAGCAAGCACCACCCCTGCATGTGCAGCTCCCTGTGGCTCAGGAGCACTCCTCTGGCTGAGTCGTGATACTGCTCTGGGTAGACACTGAGTGGTTTCCCCAGTAGCAGCTTTTTGGGCTATTAGGACAAAGCTGCCAAGAGCATTCTTGAATAAGCTTTTTGTGGGCCCATGACTTTACTGCTTCCAGTGAGAGCCCAGGGGCGGGACTGCCGGGTCACAGGCTAAAGCATGTCGAAGTTCTCTTTTTTTGTTTTGTTTTTGGTTTTGGTTTTCTTTTTCCGGTACCAGGACTCGAACTCACAACCTTGCGCTTGCCAGGCAGGTGCTATGCCGCTGAGCTAAATCTCCAGCCCCTCAAAGTTCCTGAAGAACTCGTGGGAGCGGGTAGCTATGGGCCCTCGCTGTTCCACATCCAGCAGCACCTGGCGGTGCTCTAAACTGTATTTCCCTGAAGACTCATGACACCAATCATTCCTCTATCTCCTTCTGTGAAATGTCTAAGGCTTGCCTTTCTCTTTTTTCTTTTGGTGTGTGTAGTACTGGGAACTGAACCCAGGGAATTCATACTATTATTATTTTTTGAGACACAATGCTGGAATTATAGGTATGTGCCACCATGCCAACCTGTTTGGTTTTTTTCTTCCTTGCTATGTATATAGTTTAGCTGGGCTTGAACTGACATTGTAACCCAGGCTTCCATCAAATTTGTAATTCTCCTGCCTCAGCTTCAAAGTGCTGGGAGTACAGGCAATGGCCACCACACCCACACCCAGTAATCCTTTGGTTGGCTTTTCCTTAAAGCCCTATTTGATTATGGCTTGTCAATGCATTTTGGATGGGAGGCCTTTATCATATGTATGCACTGCAAGTACTGTCTCCTTGCCTGAGCCTTTTGAAGTTTCTGACAGCACCCTTGGATGAACAAGTATGTTTCATTTTTAATAATCTAATTTACCATTTTTTTTCCCCAAGACAGTCTCGCTATGTAGTTCAGGCTGCCCTTGAACTCACTATGGAGCCCAGGTTGTCCTCAAACTCATGGAGATCCTCCTACCTCAGCCTCCTGAGTGCTGGGATTACAGGCATATGCCACCACACTGGGCTAGTTTACCAATTTTTATTTATTTTTTGGTACTGGGAATTTAACTCAGGACCTTGCACTTGCCAGGAAAGTGCTGTGCTGCTGAGCTATATCCCGGCCCTAGTTTACCAATTTTTAAAAGAAAGTGTTTTTCCTTATTTTATCCCAAAGTCCTATATCCTGTCTAAAATATCCTTCCTACGCTAAAGCTGTGAAAATAGGCATGTATAACACACTTAGCAAGATGCTCTGTTTTTGAACACATAAATACTCTATAGTTTTAGGCCTCATCAGTAGGCCCACAAGCTCTGCTGAACTGGTTTCTGTAAATAACACTGCTCACTGCTGAGTTCCAGGTTCATCGGGTCCCCAGAGATGCCCAGCCAGATGTCTCAGTGAAGCCTATCCTCTTTCAGGTTCCTGCTGCCAGCAATGCCCCACTCTGCTGCCCTCATGCTGCTCATCCTCACATAGCACAGACTGCCTCAAGCACTAAGCACTGTAGCTTTGAGTTCAGCAGGGCAAGGTTTCCAGTTCCTGTCCTGTCTGGTAAGATTGTCTTCACTCTTCTAGGTCCTCTGCCTCTAAATGAATTTTAGGACTTATTGATTTTTATGACAACAGAAACAAAAACACGGCCAGGGATATAGCTCAATGGCACAAGTGCTGGTTTGGCAAGCACAAGGTTCTGAATTTGATTCCTGGTACCAAAAACAAAACAAAACAAAACAAAAAGCTGGGCATGATAGTACAAACCAGTAATTTTAACACTCTGGGAAGCTGAGGCAAAGAGACTGTCTGAAAACATTAAGAAGAAAAAAAAAAACAAAAAAAAACTGACACCTTAAAGATATATTACCGGGGCTGGGGATTTAGCTCAGCGGCAAAAGCGCCTGCCTGGCAAGCGCAAGGTCGTGAGTTCGGTTCCCGGTACCGGAGAAAAACCAAAAAAAATAAAAAAATAAAAAAATAAAGATATATTACCTCTTCCAGCCAAGAAAAATGATGTATTTCCCATTTAGTAGCTCTTCTGGCAACAACTACCTTCCAACACAGAGCTCTTGCCTGGCCCTCTTGGGGTGCCTCTAGTGCTACATGTCTCATGATGCTGTTATAGGTGGCACTCTACTATTAATCTACAATCACACGCTGAATATTTCAGCACAGTGAGCACTGATGAACACAAGGAGCTCTCAGGCAAAAGCTGCTGCAGGGGACAGGCCCAGATCCCATCACCTGCTGCCGTGGGATCTGAGTTTTTATACCATTAAAGTATAGGGCCAGTGCCAAATGTCTCATAGGGATGGAAAACACAGATATCTTTTCAGACAGGGGTGCCTGGGAAGTGAGGATGCACATATCTGGTATACTCATCTATATTCAACTCACAAAGCCAAGCACGCCTACGTCCTGAGGCCTGGACAATACATATGCTGTCAGTGAGCACAGCATGTGCCCAGCAGGGAGGTCCTGTCTATGCTTTTCCCCTTGTCCATGGCTCCCCAGGATGCACCAGGGTCAGAAGTCCAGGTGTAAGGGGCTGCAGCTGCAGCTCTTGGTGGGTGGGTGGGGGGCACTTACTGCACAGCTGCTCGATGGTGGCCCACTGCTCAGACTTCTTCCACGTTTGTGCCAGCTCTTCATTTCTGGTCCTCACTGCCTCCAGCAGCAGGCTGATGCTGTCCTGAGACACCAAAAAAAAAAAAAGGTTCCATCTTGCTCTGCTTTTACCAATTTTATCTTCAACATCAAGACATATTTCAGAGGGAATTTTAAAAACTGAAGAGGCTCCTGGGTGTGATGGTGCACACCTGTAATACCAGCACTTGGAGGCTGAGGCAGGAAGACTGCCATAAGTTCAAGGCCAGCCTGGGCTACATAGTGAATTCAAGGTTGCCTGGATTACACAGCAAAACCCTGTCTCAAAAGAAAAAAAAAAAAAAAAAAAGAATAGGCTCTCACTATGTAACACAAAATGCCCAATTTGGGTCTATAAATACAAATGTTAGAGTGAGCTAAAATTTAAATTCTTCCCAAACAGCCCAGAGTAGGCATCTGCACTCTCTGTCATGGGCTGAGAGTGGCGGCCGAACAGCCCAGGGGTCAGAGGGTTATGTCCTCGGTCCTAGAGGAAGGGATAGAGAGAGAGGAGGCCAGCTTATAGGACCCATCCTCTTCCTCACACTTTACCCTCTGCCTCTTTCTCTTCTCCATTGTGTCTGGAAACCACACTCCACATCCTCAGCCTCCAGTATCAACATGCAGAGAATTAGAACAGTGAGGGCTTGATAAAGACTGCAAGACTTAGTCAACTAATAAATATTTTCTTTCCTGTTTTGGTAATGGGAACTGAACCCATGTCCTTTACTGAGCTACAGCCCCAGCTCTTTTTTTATTTCCTATTTTGAGATAGGGTCTCCTACATGGCTAAGTTGCCCAGGCTGGCTTGAATTTGTGAACCTCCTGCATGGTATGATTACAGGTATGCATCACCACAGCAGGCCCCACCAAATGTTTTTTAAGAATAATTGCAGTCACATTTACTAATAAGGTTGCTCTGACACACAGGGAGCCTCTCCTGTCATTCCTGACCCAGGGTGGCAGGGCTGACTCTGTGACAGGAGGTAAAGTTTCCTGGAGTAACTGGAGAAGAGACAGAGGGGTAGCAAAAGCCACAGGGTACTTGATGTCCAGTATCAGAGTGGGTGGTTTGGTGACAAAATAGCTACAAAATAAACCCAGCAGCTGGGCGTGGTAGTGCACACCTATAATCCCAGCACTCAGTAGGTGGAGGCAGAAGGATTACTGGGAGTTCAAAGCCAGCCTGGGCTACATAGCAAGATCTTGCCTCATCAATAAATAAATAAACCCAGTAGATAGAAGAATAGCTACAGACTACCTGACACAAAAATGCCCTAAGGGCTCTACTCTGTCTCCTTTGGGAAAGGTGCTGAGTAAGTGCTATAAGGTTCAGAAAGAGGCCTCCCTCCTTCCCTGGTGTTTCTTCAAGGTTTAGGCAGAGAAGAAAGGGTCACAGGACAACACCCACACCATGGCACATGCAGAAGCCTCCTGGAAGGACCCACTGCCTAGAGAGGTACCCTGATCGGCCTAGAGAGCACCTGTGGTCTACAAAGCACTGGCCCTTTCCTTCCCCATGGTGTGTCTCCTGAATGCCAACTGTGCAGCTGCACATGTGGGGCCTGGAAGTTGGCCAAGCCTCTAGGCTAAGGCAAGATGTCAGCAACGAGCTTGCTGTCAGGGCAGAGACTGTCTACACTGGGGGATCCTAGTTTTCTCAACTCATTCATCTTCTAGGAGATTATAATCAACAATACGGTCCTTTGCCATGGAGGCCATGGTGACAACGTTCATCTTTCCATCACAGACCCCTCTGAAAAGCTGCTGCCCACACATACCCACACAGCCACAAGGAGATGACCTTTGATACCAGGTTTCACTCGGCTTCCTACCACACTCTGGTTTGAGAAAAGGGAGTCAAGGGGCATCTCTTCTAGCTCGGATCCTACCTGCAGAGGCATAACTTCATTGGTGACCAGAAACAGCAAGAGGTGGAAATCCGAAATGGTATCCAAGAACACAGATGAAGTATTCTGGGACAAATAGGTGGCCAAACTGTGGAAGTCCTGCAGACAAAGGGGCAGGAGAGAGAAGAAACATGGACACTGTGTTATCACTTCTAGAGCCAGATCCTGAGGGAAGCTGCCAGCTACTAAGACAACACGTAACGCTAAGGGAAATCTCACCCTCTCTTCTGTAACCACTGGAGAGGGTCCAAGAAAAAGAGGCACAAATAGCCCAAAGTAAACATCTGACCCTCCTAGGCAGGGGAAGTGCTCAACATACCTGCCTAACACGGTGTGAAAGGACCAAGGTGTGTGAGGAAACAAGTGTAGAAGCTCACTCAGCATGAAATAGTCAGATGCAAAATGCCCCTTTCCTTTGAAGTAGAGTGTCTGAAGAAACGGACCACTTCAGAACAGGTAGGAGACCCATCTGCTCTCTCTTGTCTGGCTGCCCTCCTGAGCTAGGGCAGCACAGAGTGAGGAGGTGGAACAGAGAGGGCAGTCATGGCCCAGTGTGAATATGTCCCAATAGCACTGAGTACGGGAGCCCCAAAAGGGCTCCCTTTCCCCCTGACAAATACCCCATGTCCCCCAGGAAACAGGAGTGAGGAAGCAGAGCACCAGAAGAGGTTTTACCAATAAACCACAGTAGAAGAAAATTCACTTACAGGAATTCCTCAGTTAAGCTTGTCTGAAACATGGGTACCAAGCTGCCATCCAGGCGGAGGTGGAGCCCAGAATGCCTATGTGCTTAAGGCAGTAATGGCAAACCCTGGTCAAGCTTGAGCTGCTGGTGAGAGCAGCTTGAGCAACGAGCCTTCTGGTACCACACATCATGCTACAATGAGGCCTCCTGGCCTGCAGTGGAGATGAGGGCACAGCAACAAGGAAGCAAGACTGTTTCCACTGCTCAGTTCCACAAATGTACATTTATTAATGGACCAACCAACCACACAAAGTGACTAATATATTTTAGAAAAATTAAGCAGTCAACTGAGAATGGTACTTCAGGCAAGATTGTAGGCCAAGGACTTATACTGCAGCCATCTATCACCTAGAAAGGAGAGGTGCCCACATGATACACATGCCCTCAAAAAAGGTCTCTCTCATGGGACTTGCTGCAAGAAAAATGATGGGAGTTTCAAAGTGTGGCAATTTCTGGGAAACCAAAATTGAAGAGCTTACCTGTGTCTCACCTAGTACATCTCGGTTTTCAATAGGAAACGGATTTTGTGAAATAGAAAATGTGTAAACTGGATCCTTAGGGAAGGTTGTTGTGATCTAAAGAAGAAAAACACAACCAAGATAAACTCTGCTGATAACAGTGTGGATATGGTCAGGTTCACCCAAGTAGCCCCAGCAAATGCTGGGGCAAGTCACACACACAGGGATTCTAAGAATCCTACAAGCTCCATACTGAAAGTGTCAGTTAACTATTACTGTTGTCCCCAAATGGAACATTTCAAGCTGTGAGACTGGGAAACAAGCTGAAGAATGTGGTTTTCAAATCACATGCATCTGGGCAGCTCCTAGCTATGCACTAGCCTCTGCAGCCCCAGCTCAAGATGGGACTGTCTGAGAGTCTCACACCACTGCATTCTGCCATGGGCAACAGAGAGCTGGCTTGCCCCTGGCCCAAGCCAACAGCATTATTGGAAGGAAATGGAAGAGGTAGGAGGCCATCTTAGGAGGTGCAAAGTTCACATCCCAGGCTTGGAAGCTATTTAAAGTCAGCTATGAAGCAGAGCAACTCCAACAGGCTGCTGCAAAGCTGCTTGTAGAGGCTGAACAGGCTTTGCAGGTGGGGTGAGAATCACAGGCCCTCTTCTCCCTCAAAGAAGGGTGACTTGGTGTTAAGAGCTTCCATAAAGGGGACCCAAGTCCTTGGTTTGGCTCCAACATGCTTTAGGAACAGCAGAGGGCATTTTAAATCTAACATGTAATCCATAGAAACTACGAGGACAGTGGTGAATGTGAATGAATCAATACAAACTCAGGTTTTATTCCTCTCAGCAGATGCCCCGGCACACAAAAGCACCCAAGTGTGAGCTATCAACCACCTCTGGCTGATGCGGCTTTCCTCTGCATGGGACACTAGCAGGAGCAGGTCACGCCCCTTTTCAGATTTAGGGTAGCTATTGTGGCTCCTGAGGGACAACTTCTAAAGAATGAAACATTGTTCTGGTCTGTTTTCCGCATCAGCAAAGGCAGCAAGCTGTTTCTGCAGTCAACTGTGCCAGCGTCAGCACTCTGGAAAAATGAGCTAAAGGGGGCCAGCTGGTCTTTCACACACAGGCTGTGCAGCAGCAGGGCCACAGTGACGACTTGGGCCACAGTGACATGCTGGTTGTTTGGCCTCACTCTCCTCACCTGGGGGACAGAGATGACAGGAGTGGCTCTTGAAGGTGCCCAGTGCAGGGCTGGCATGCATGCCACTCAGTCCTGGTTGCAGTTATGGCTCTAAAGATAGGGATGTGTGTGCCCATACTACAGAAACAAAATCCTGGGGCCACTTGGGCTTTCCTTTTGGAAAGACAAAGGCAGGAGTAGAGGGGCAATTGCAGAACACACAACAGCAAACTAGTCAAGCAGGAGAGACATTTGCTAGCCCTTTAAGGGGCTCCTGGGGAGTGACAGAATCAAAGTCCACAGGGCCCCAAGTGACCACCCCAAGGGTCCAGCTCCTTTGTCTTGTACCTAAGCCCTCTCCCTACCTAGTCTGTCTTGGAGCTATGAACTAGATAATGCACCAGTATCTCCACAGAAGCCCAGGAAACACTGGTTTGTACTTTCCCTGCCTGAAATAGCCACCCTTATCCTTAGTTTCAAGAACAGCAGCCAGGCGCACAGCTGTAATTCCAGCTAAGGCAGTAGATCATAAATTCAAGGCCAGCCTGGGCAAGTCAGCAAGACCATATCTCAAAAATAAATCTAAGAAAGGGCTGGGGGTATAGTTCAGTGGTAGAGCACTTGCCTAGCAAAACCAAGGGTGTGGGTTTTAGCACGTACTCCACCCTACCCCTGTCAGCAGCAGCATAGCAGCTGGACCTGGCCTAGGCCTGTACCCAGGCCCTCTGGCACTACACAAGGAGGTGAACACATTTCTGTGGGCACCTGCTCTCAAGGGATTCCCCAGCCCTCACTTCCACAGGGATGGAGAACTTGGGGTCCCAAGGCAGAATCCTTTCCCAGCAACCAAGCACTGCTAAAGAGCACACTGTGGCAAGAATTTCACTTCCCACAGAAGAGGGGCAGGAGGAGACGCAGCTAAATCATGCCGACCCCTCCTCAGTGTATGTTCCATCAATCTGTTTTCATCTTAATTACACCCTAGGTAGTCTAAAAAACAGATGCCTTTATAGCCTAGGTAATAAATATGTTCTCAAGAGCTGTCAATTGGAATAGAGCATCAGTGGGCTTGGCTCAGGGGATCCACGGCTCCAAATGCAATGGTATTTTACTGCCTGAATCCATGCCTGTCCTGAGCTGAAATGTAGCTTGAATGGATCCTGGCACACAGCAGCATAGGGAATGAGCCACTTTTGCCCCTGTGGACAAAGCTCATGCAAGCAGTGATACACCAGCTATATCAAAAGCATAAGGTTTTGTCCTGAAGTATCTACTGCCCTGTGGCCAGTGGTTTGGTCTCATCTTTGTGACCATGAGATGCCTCCAAAAAGGAGAAGAGATTTGGGGAAATACAGCAGCAGAGCCACCCATCTTGGCTCCAGAAGCTCCACCTAGGAAACCATGTTGATCCTCACTTTAAAGGACAACAAGTCATAGAAGCACTTTGGCTGTTGCAGCCGTGGTCTGGCAGGCAGCCCCAACCAAGCCCAGAGTACGTGGCAAATCTGTGGGTTACCCTCAGAACTAAGCCCTGCTTGCTGCCTTCCAGAGCTGCTGGGCCAGAGGCAGGGTCTTCTATACTTCAGTATGGGGAAATTTAATCCCCAGGTTGTTTTCAAGGATATAAAAACCTGAAACTACAAGAAATAGTCCTTAAAACCGTGAATGTTCCTCAGAAAAACTAGAACTAGATAGAGGTTCCATTTAACCTAGCTATTCCCCTTCTTGGTATCTTCCTGAAAGAATTAAAACCATCATACCACAGGAATATATGCATACCCATGTTTATAGTGACACAGTTTGTAATAGCCAAATCTTGGAAACAGCCCAAAGGCCCATCAACTGGTGAATGGATAAAGATGTGGTTTTTTATATAATGGAGTACTAGTCTGCCATAAAGAAGGATAAGCCTGAGACATTTCTAGGTAAATGGATACACCTTGAGACCATTTTTTAAAGTGAAATAAAGTGGACACACATGTAAATACTGCACTATTTTTCTGGTGTGAGAAACCAAAAATGTAAATAAGGACAAAAATGTATAACAGGTACTGTAAAATAGGAAGAAAATGTTCAAATGGGGAGGGGAATAAGGAATGGGGGAAGGAGAAAGGAAAAGAAGGGAAAAGTAAAAAAGAAAACTTAGAAAAAACAAAGCTTTTGTAAATGGGGAGGGCAAGAGGGTTTCAGGGGAGAAGAGGGAAATGGGAAAAAAAAAAGAATCAAGTTATATCACATACAGGTACAAATTCTCTATGATGAATGTGATCATTATGAGTATCTAAAATCTATTAATAAAATCTGATTGGAGAAAATAAATAAATAAATAAATAAAAACAGTTCCTCAAACAGGGACAGAGAGAAGAAAAAAAAACTATGAATGTTCCAGAACACTGGGGGCTCGATAACTTCGCAAACATCCTCTGCCCCACATGCGGCAGAAAGTGCAGTGCAAGGATCACTGGCTTCCCTGTGAATGACCTCCACCCACGCCCAGACCTCCACGACACCCAAAGGGCAGCCTGTGCAGGGCAAGCATGAGGAGCACTTACGTCTATGATCAGATATTCCACAGGTAGGGGCCGGGCCAGCTGAGTGATCTCGTTGCCAAACTTGTCTATATCCTGAAATAATCAAAGGTGAATGGCCATTGAGTGAAGGTGACTAGTGACATAATGTTCCTTCTACAAACACCTTACCCCTTACTTTTTAAATTTTATTTATTTATCTTAAGACAAGGTCTCATTATGTAGTCTAGGCTGGCCTCCAACTGGTGGCAATTTTCCTGCCTCAGCCTCCTGAGTGCTAGGATCACAGGCATGTGCCACCATGCCTGGCAACATCTCACCTTTTAAATTAAAATCCTCATTGAGGTGCATAAAAAGCAAAAGGAAAATATATACATTTTTGCAACCAATTCACCTGGCATCACTTCTGAGAGATTAGAGCTCTTCAGGACAGAATAGCCATATTGTCAGGCGACTGGGAGCCTCCACAAGGGAGAGTGCTCCCCTACTACCACCGTCAGCACTGAACTTGGAGCCAGTTGAAAGGCAGAGGCAGCAGGGCCACACTCCCTTGTCGGGACTGGTCTGTGCCCATCCACCTCTGCAACCACTCCAAGTCTCACACTCTGACTGCTAACTCTTAGAAATGTCACTCAAGCCTCTGCTAACCCAGCTATGGGTAGTAAGTACTGTGCACTGACAAAGACGCGCACAAACGAGCACCCACACAAATACAAAGCCACAGGAACACCGCCACCAATCTGTCAAAGTCTGAACTTGTTTTGCTTTGTCAGATGCACAGAACATAAAGTTTAATTATGGGAAGAAACGGCCAGCGTATGTTCATTAATCATAAAGTGACAATTAGATCTGATTTATGTCAAACATGCTGAGTTCCAACAGAGCTCTAGAAATAAATTCATCAGAACCAACATTTTTCATTAAAGATTCTACAGGAGGGGCTATATTTTCTATCTAAATCATCACTTAACATTATATAAATCATTCATTGAGCCATATATAAGTTATACATCCATAATTTCCAATTACAGGCCCTTACATAAAAGTTTACGTTTATTGAACTTCCCAGACCGGAACTGGTTGCCAAGCACATGTCCCCAAGTGTGTGAGAGGCATTCCCCACATATCCACAACTTCTGGGGACAGAGAGCTGTGCTGACTTTTCAATCATCACAAGCTGCTCCTGAGTCAAACTACTCTGCCATCCTAATGGGACATCCCTGAATCCAACTGGTCTTGTTCCTTGTTTTAAATTTCTAGTCTGAAATATGTCTCTATTTATTAGTCTCCTCCCTTTTCTCTATTTGCCACCGTAGCCGGGGATATAGCTCGGCGGCACAAGCGCCTGCCTGGCAAGCACGAGGTCCTGAGTTCGATTCCCAGTACACACACACACACACACAAAAAAAAAACTACCAATCTATTTGCCACTGTAAGTGCCACAAATGAAGACTGGCCCTTTCCTCTCAGTGGAATGGTCCAAATACACCTAACCAGGGGCCGGGGATATAGCCCAGTGGCATAGCACCTCCCTGGCAAGTACGAGGTCCTGAGTCTGATTCCTGGTACCAAAAAACAAAAAAGAAAAAAGAAAATAGAACTCTACAAATACACCTAACCAGCTGGGTGCATGAGGAGCACTCACTCTGACTCCACTTTCAGGTCAGGTAGGCTGTGCCCTCCCTGGCAAATGCCACGTCCCTGCAAGCTGCCTCTTCTGAAGCTGAAACAACTTTCTACCCCATGTGGTAAGAGTCATTTGTCTTTTGCTACACAGGTGGCCATGTGGTCAGCACAGCCTATGGTTCTGCCAGCTGCAACAGGGGTCCCAAAGTTGGGAGCTGCTAAGTGGGGCCCAGGACCTCAGAGGAGGCAGTTTCTTGATGAAGGAGATATGATAGGAGGCAGGAATCAACTCAATCAAACTAAATCACCATTTCCAAAAATACATGCTTGCCCCTACAAGAAATAACCTGCAACAACTCACACGTAATTACCCCATCTGGAATTCATCTTCAAATCTAATTAAGCTCTAATATGCAGAAACATTTTTCTAGCACCTGTTCACTTTAATCTTCCCCTCTAGGGAATTTTCTTGTTAAATGCCCCTCTCTTTTTTGTGTCATGATAATCTCGTTCAAATTTAACTACCCAACTGTACCTTCTCTGTTCCCCAAGAAAATAAAGGTGTTATATCCTGCTTTTTTCCCTGGGGGAAAAAACAGGTAACTTCTATCTCTCCCCCATGCCTTCACTCAAATGTTCTTGCCAGCCAATCCCTATCCCTACATACCATTTTTAAAGGCAATTACTTTTTATAGGCTTTAGCAAATGTCAGATGGAATGTGCTAGGAGAAAGATGTCTTAATTCTAAGTCTGGCAGCCGGCAAAGTGTCAGCAATTTTATCTCTACCTGGAGTGAGACACCAGGAGACCCAGAAACCACAGTCCCCAAAGCCTCACTGTGTACCACGGGACACGTCTGGAAGCAGCAGTGCTATGATCTTGACATCAAAGAAAAATGCACAGATGGGAGTCTTTGTGAATCCTGAGCACATGGGCTTGTTGTAGGACAGCAGCAACTATGGCTAGTACCACCTTGCTTTGGAGACAGTGGGCCAAACTCTGAGTGTGCTGCTTCTCTGATGAGAATTGGCAGGAAGGGATAAGTCAACCAGCACTTCATCTGGCAAGTTACCAGAGCACAGTGTAGTCCATAAGCATGCTCTTGTTGTCCTGGTCTAGGTTGGACCCCATGGGCAGGCCCACTTGCTCCTCACAACTCTACACATCACAGGCACGGCTGTTGTGCCCAATGTTGGCTGAGAAACGACCAGTTAGTTACCCAAAGATCAAGCAGCTAGCAGATTCAGGAGGGCTAGAGAAAGCTCATCCACACTGAGAACTCAGGTTGTGAGCTATCCCACACTGTGCTTCACACTAGTGCTGGGCTGTGAGGTCAGGACATATGTATGGAAACTGAAGCCACAGGCCCTGGCCCTGGCAGCTCATCTACTACCAGCACTGCAAGGGGAAAACAAAACTATGACCAGACGTTTCAGGGACTGTGTGTTAAGATATAAGGAGTCATGAACAGCAGGTCTAGGGTAAATGTAGCATCAGGTCAGCTAAACAAACATCTAAAATTAGATTCCTACTTTGTATCAATACAATGCACAAATGGTCAATGAATGTTAAAATTACATCATAAAAGCATCAAAATAATATTTAGGTAATATGCAGTAAAGAATTATTTTGAACATATGATGACAAAGACAGAAATAATGAAAACAGATGAAAGTATCTCCAAAGTAAAAAAATAGTCCAGTTCTTTTTTTTTTTTTTTTAAATCTAGCTCTTCTATGTAAAAATTACAAAGAAAGGAGGGCTGGAGATATAGCTCAGTGGCACAGTGCTTGTCTGGCAAGCATGAGGTCGTGAGTTCAATTCCTGGTACAAAAAAAAAAAAAAAAACAAAGAAAACGAAAACCTGGCCTGTATGTACAACATATGACAAAAATAAAAACATAAGCAATCAATGCAGAAAATGATGAATCATCTTATAAATAACTAAGCACGTGAAGAGATTCACAATGAAAATAATCAAATGGGCCAGGCACAGTGGCACAGGCCTGTAATCTGAGCACCCAGCCTAAGAACCTAGCACCCAGCTCTTGGGATGCCCTCTCTTCTGCAATAGCCAGTACCAAGAAAGAATGATGCCCCTCGCTTCACTCTGACCCCCACTTCCCCAAGCACTGCTGGTCTCAGGATCTTAGCATTATCTCCTGCTGGACCATCACCTCTCCCACCTGCCCAAGCTGGCCCCTGCAGTGCAGAGTCTACAAATCTGTCTGACCTACTTCTTGGCTTCATCTGACAACCCCAGCTGGTCTGGGGGCTTTAGTCTGGGCTTTCTACACTGTTTTAAGACTAGCACTGTTAACCCAGGTCTCCTGTCTAAGCTTCTGGGCCTCAACAACTGCCCACAGGCTTCCATGCTATCCCAATCGATATTCAGACTCTTAATGTCCTCCCAAGACGTAATTCTGCTCTGGCCCCCAAACCTGTATTTTACCCTCAGACCTGCTAGTTCCTGGGCTCCCCACATCCCCCACACAATCTCTATACCACAAAGGCTATAGGAATCATGGGAACACTATACTTCCCAATTCTATCCCTGCACCCACGGTAAATCATCTACAGCAAAAGCCTCACCTCTCTCAGCCCCCACTATCAGTACCTGTCCAGTGTAGCTCCTAACTGGATGTGGGTCCTGTTCCAGCCCTCTGCCTGTGGCCTCTCTTGATTTAGGGCACAGCACTGGTTGCTTGGACTATTGCCAAATCTCTTCCTCCAGACCACTCTTCATGCCACATCCAGTAGGAAATGTTCCAGGACTCACCTTTCATGGCTCTTTCTGCATCTTGCTAGCATACCACCAACCAATCTCAGATAGGCTGATCCCTGCAGGCACAGTGCTCCCTAGAAGTATGGCCAAGTGGAGCCCAGGCTGGCACAGCTCAACCCATGCTCAGTGCTGTGCTAATCTATGAGGAGAGGGGCCTGGTGTGACTCACTCATAGCAGCATGCCCAGGGCCCAGAGAAAGCACTCAGAACATAGGGGTTTGTATGGGTGAGAAGGGCAGGCTGCGGCCAAGTGCAACTCACAGTCAACATGGGTGCTGATTTATACATGAGTGCCAGAAGGATGCTGAGGGGGGCTCGCTTTGTATCCTTATAGATTTACCATTACTGTTTTTGTTTTTTAATAATAAGTAGGCATTTGATTTTATAATGATATAAATTATACCACAAGTTAACTTTTATAAGACTGCACTGCCTAGTGCATGTGAACCTGTGAATCCATGAATCCATGACCGAGTGACACCTGCTGCCAGCCCCCCATGCCCCACCTCCACTTCACCCATGCTCCTGGGCCAGGTTCTCAGCTCACAAATCTCCACTCACTCTGCTTTCCCTGGTCCAAAAGAACTCCCAAGTTTCCTGCACCAACCCACCAGCTCCACACCCACATCCCTCCCACACTGACCATCTCTAAGTTCCCCAAAGCTGTGTGGATGGCTCCATTCCA